TCACCCCAAATGAAGGCCACAGTGTGGAGCTGTCTTTTTGGTCGAGATGAAGATTTTGATTTTAATGATGCATGAACTACCACTATCATATATGAAAGAATCTATGAAGGCACATAAAAAGTTCCAGACCAGTCTTCCCTTCCCAATTCTTCCACCTTTTATTATGAGCTCTGACTTAAATCCCTGTCTGAATCATGAGATCAAATTTTGTTTAAGGCTTCAACTAGGAACTCACCCAGCTAGAGTTAGAAACTATCTAATTCAGCACAAACACCAATTTAACTAGATAGAGATGACAGTGAGACTTACCTTGGGAGCACAACATATAAAATGAAAAGCTATATCACAAGGTCTACTTATCTTTCCAATGTCCTTTCCTTTCAAAAATCCACTACCAGCTATGGTGATCTCATAGCATGCCTCTCCAGATCTTCATTTTGTCTGTGAATACTAGTTAGGTGTAGGGTATCTATGTTTGTGTGCCTATGTACATGCGAGTGCTGTTTATATGACAACTAATGGGTCAGCACGTTTGCTCTCTGATATCACAGAGAAGGTAATACTTGTAAAGTTGATTAACTATTAACCTGTTGGGCTAAGGCTGAGGTGCTTCCAAGAACCAGAGTCTCAGATGCCTAAATGTTTCAAAATCAAAATTCTTTTTATTTTTGTGTAGATCAAGCTGCCAGTAACCATGGCTGTCGTTTGGACATTAGCTATCGGAATGCTGATCTTTCAGTAGACCTCATATTTCAATGGATCTCAGACCTCCCGTTAGGTAGACAAACCATCCAAGTGTGCCTGGGACTGAGGATCTTTCCAGATCCTGGAAATTAGAGGACCCAACTCAAGACAGTCATCAGCAAACTGGGACAAATTACCTTCCAAATGTACCTCAGCCTAAATTGCTCGTCTCCATTTCTTTGTGTAGCTGACACCTCATCACATAGGTCACAGGTCAATTCTTCACAGAGGCATTCTTTCACCATAAAAACCTCCCCAGACCACCAATCTGCCTTGTAAAGTTGATTAATTATTCTTTTTCCTTATCTTTGCCTCAAATGTGATATCCTTAGAAATAATCCTTGGCCATGAGACCACTCCTTACCATGAGTTGTATTATTTTCTTCCTATCACTTAAACTCTTGGAAATTATTTTGCATATTTTTTTCTCTCCTTCTGAATTACTGAGTTGTTTATTTATTTATGGCCAATCATAACTGCCATAATGTACATATAGTCCTGATCCCTTAATCTTGCTCATGGCTGTGTCCCAAGCTGCTAGACCAGTGCCTTGCACACAGTAAATGCTCAATAAAAATTTGAAAACATGTTCATGCAATTATTCCAATAAATTAAAAAGAGAACTGCCATGTGTGATCTAGCAATCTCACTTCTGGATATATATCTGCATGAAATGAAATCATTATCCTGAAGAGTTATTTGCACTTCTATGTTCATTGCAGTATTTATCATGATAGCCAATGTATGGAAACAACCTAAATGTCTGTTGACAGATGAACAGATAAAGAACATGTTCCATATACACACAGGAGGATATTAATCAGCATTTAAAAAAAAGAAAATCCTGCCACTTATGACAACATGTATGAACCTGTAAGACATTAATTATGCTAAGGGAAATAAGCCAGATGAAAAAAGAAAAATACTGCATGAGCTCATTTATATGTGAAATCTCAGTAATCAAACTCACAGAAGTGGAAAGTACACAGTGGTTACCAGGGGCTCTACGGAGGAGGAAATGAGGAGTTGGTCAAGGGATATAAAGTTTGAGTTATGCAAGATGAAAAAGTTCTGAAGATCCATTGAACAACAATGTAACTATAATTAACAATGTTGTGCTGTATACTACAAATTTGGTAAAGGAATAGACCTTAAGTACTTTCACCACAAAAGAAAGAACAAAAAAGAGGTAAAAATTTTTTTAAAGGATTAAACGAACAAACGGACTGAGAGCTATTATTTGCAAACTCAAACATATATAACAAAGAACTCAAGTATAGAATATATAAAGAACTGTCAAAATTCAACAGTTCAAAAATAATTTACTTAGAAAATGGGCAGATGAACAGACATTTCACCAAAGAGGATATATAAATGGCAAATACGTACATGTAAAGATGTTCAACATCACTAGCAATTAGAGAAATGCAGATGAAGACCAGGATGAGATACTACTACATAGATATTAGATCAGCTAGCATTAAAAACCATGACAATTCAAATGTTGATGAGGAGAATCTTTCATACGTTCCTGGTGAGGGGTTAACCTCCCTCAGAGCCTTTGCTCTTCCTGCTCTCTCTGCCTAGAAGATTCTAGATATGCATGTGGCTATTTGCCTCAGTACATTTAGATTACTACTCAACATCACTTCCTCAGAGAGTCTTTTTTCTTTTTTTAGTAAGCTGTTCAAAACACACACACACACACACACACACACACACACACACCCCACACACCATATTATTCTCTATTCCTTACCCTACTTTTATTTTCCTTTATGGCACTTGTAACCATGTGGCATTATATGTTTGTTGTCTCTCTCATTAACCAGAATGGCAGGACGTTGCTTCTCCTCCTCTTAGACCCAATGCCTACAACTGTGCCTGACATATAGATCTATATTCAGCCAGTTCAGCAGTCCTGAAGAACCTGAGAGAAGTGGTCATGCAGACTCAGTTTGTAGCATTTGGACACAGGAACCACCACTTCTCCCAGACAGTCCAACCATTTCCAGATGGTTCCAGTCATCAGAGTTCTTTCCAATTAGTTTAAAACTGCCCTCCTGCAATTTCCACCTGAGACCTTAAAAAAATTATATATATATATATATTTCAGAGAGGAAGGGAGAGGGAGAGAGAGATAGAAACATTAATGATAAGAGAGAATCATTGATCGGCTGCCTCCTGCACGCCCCCTACTGGGGATCAAGCCCACAACCCTGGCATGTGCCCTGACCGGGAATTGATCCGGCAACCTCCTAGTTCATAGGTCGACTCTCAACCACTGAGCCACACTGGCCAGGCTCCACCGACGACTTTTAATTCTACCCTCTAGGCCTGCATAGAGCATGTCTTTCAGAAGATAGCAACTATAACTCTCTTCAGCCCATTACTACTTTTCAGGTTAAACAGGCCTCCCTTTCCATCATTACTCAGGCATAGTCCTCTGAGATGATAGAAAGAACATGTGCTCTGAGGACAGGTAAACTGGGTCAGAACCCAGACCTCATTCGTAAGCACTGTGTCACCTTGAGCAAATCACATCTGCCTATAGGGAGCCTGTGAGGATCCTAGGGGTCATGTATGTGAGAGTACAGTGCCTGGATTCATGCTCACTGTTTTTCTGAAGAAGGTACTACCAGGATATCAAGGGCAAAACAGATTTTCTGAATCTCATCATGCTGTTCCTAATACTTGCTGAATGTAGGAAGAAGAGAGTAGAATAGAAGAGTACTGGACCCATCAAAAGGAGTAAAATAATTAAGACAGACCACAGGCCCAGAAAATATATCCCAAGAAAACAGAAACACCAATCAGAAAGGATATATGCACCCCTATGTTCATAGCAGCACAATTTACCATAGCTAAGATCTGGAAACAGCCTAAGTGCCCATCAGCAAATGAATGGATTAGAAAACTGGTACATCTACACAATGGAATACTATGCTGCTGTAAAAAAGAAGGAACTCTTACCATTTGCAACAGCATGGATGGAACTGGAGAGCATTATGCTAAGTGAAATAAGCCAGTCAATGAAAGAAAAATACCACATGATCTCACTCATTTATGGATAATAAAGACCATTATAAACTGATGAACAAAAATAGATACAGAGGCAGAGCAACATCGAACAGACCGTCAAACTACAGCGGGAAGTCCGGGCAGGGTTGGGTGGGGGTGTAAGAGGTCAACCAAAGGGCTTGTATGCATGCATATAAGCATAACCAATGGACACAAGACACTGCGGGGTAGGGGAGGCCAGGGGAAGGTCAAGGGGAGAAAAAAAAAAGGAGACATATGTAATACTCTTTGTAATACTTTAAGCAATAAAACAAAATTAAAAAAAAGAATGTAACTTAATTTCCAAAAGAAAAAAAAAAGAAAATTTAGAGGACTCACAAACTTCCTGCTGGAGCCCAGGCAATGCTCCCTTCCACACCCTCTTTGTTGGAGAACCCACCTGAAATGTTTTTGCTCGATTCTTTGAGGCTGGAGTCCAAGAAAGGCCCAGAAGCAGCTAACATTAAAGAGTTGGAGTAGGAAATAAGGAGGAAAATGCAGAGTTGGAAAGAGCTGAACTAGGACTTGGATTATGAGGGCTCTCAGTTTGTTTCTTTCTTACTCACAATGTGACGCTAGTCAAGATTTTTCTACTCTCTGGGCCTGCATCTTGTCAACTGAGACATGCCAATTCTAAGATCTACCAAGATATGAGTGCATACTATACATGCATTCATCCATTCACTGGTTTCAACAGTTGTTAAATACACACTCTGGATGTACAGAAATCCCAGCGTTCAGGGGTCCCTACTGTCAGGGGGTCTCACTGTCTATTAAAAGTTGCCCTCAATGGTGATAGTCCGATAGGGAAGATGAACTAAGTAAATACTTAGTTCCAATTCATCAATAAGCATTTGACAAAAGGAAGGAAGGAGAGGGGGTGTGAGAACATAAGGAAGGAGGTTAATGACCCAAAAAGAGGAGCAATAAAGGCTCCTTGGAATGTGGGTCCATTCTCTCCACAACGCCACAACTTGTGTAGGACTTGAACATACTCAGCTAATGCCTTTCACTGTCTCAGATGATGTCTAGAGAAGGACTCTAAACACTAGATGATCCGTTTATACTGCCGACCTGCAGGCTGATGTTCTGGGTGGTGAAACATTGTGCTCTTCTCTGATTTATTGTCCATGACTCAGCCCTACCCAAGCCAATAAAATGCAGAGTGAAGATCTACCTTCCCTAAGACGTTCAGTATGCTGCAGGATCATTCCTCACCCCTCTCAAGATACATTAAACTCTTGTTCCTGGCTTTAGCTGTCCTTGTGGTTCTGGCTCAGGCGTCCCCAGGTAACTAAACTATGGAGAGGGGGGAAAGGGAGTAAGAATGGGGTCCTACTCATAGAATCATTGGAAAACTGAACATGTGTAGGAGTTAGGATAGCCCGCAGGGGGGACTGAGATTTGGTGAAAAGCCTTACAATGAATATGCTCAGTTAATAAGGGCAGTCTGTCACTGACCATGATGATGCTTCCTATTAGGGAACCTGGTGGATATCAGCAGAAGCCAGGGTGTCTTGTATGAAGTCCCTTCTCTCTGCAGAAGCAACCCCATGTTCTTAATATCCTTGGCCCAGATGTTCATAGAATCTCATCCCAGGCACCTTTCATTTCAATTTCACTTCCTGTTGATATCACCTCTTGCAGTAACCAGTCCCATTACTTCACCTTTCCATTGCTGTTTGGCTTTGAATGCTCCTTTGAAGCAATCAGAGGAGGCATCTTGCTCTTGTCTTAGAACATATAGTGAAAAAGATGTAGGTTGGTGTTGGATATCTACAGTTTAAGGTGGTGCTGGAGTTAGGGCAGAAGATTCTGGATTCCAAATTAAACATGGCCAGAACTCTCTAACAATACAACAGGTTTCATGGCCAAGTGGTGAATAACTTTCTAATAGAAATATTTCCACTTAGGCTTCCCAGTGATTCTAAAGTTTGTGATTTTTTTAAAAAAATATATTTTATTGATTTTTTACAGAAAGGAAGGGAGAGAGACAGAGAGTTAGAAACATCGATGAGAGAGAAACATTGATCAGCTGCCTCCTGCACATCTCCCACTGGGGATGTGCCCGCAACCCAGGTACATGCCCTTGACCAGAACCGAACCCGGGACCCCCCAGTCCGCAGGCCGACGCTCCATCCACTGAGCCAAACCGGTTTCGGCAATTTGTGATTTTTAATTCCATGGTTTTCCTTTGGGTCATTGCTGTTGGAAGTTTCCTCTTCTCTTGGATCAGCTTTTCAAACTGAAAGTCTTTGCCAATCACTCAGTTGTTCTAAAAGCAAAGGAAGGTAATTCTGAACTTATCCTGATTTGATTTCAGACTCCCCTTAAACTCTGGTGAGGGCAACTTGAGTAAACGAAGGAGTTGCAAATGCAAACGACACTTTGGAGAATGAATCTGCACATTGATTCATGGAATCAGAGTCGTCTTGACTCTGATTTTTCTAGTCTGAACATCCTGGTGAGAAAGCAAGAATTGGAAATTCTCTACCAGGAGGGGTGTCTGGGGAAGAAGAAGTAGAGGGAATCTGTCATTTAAGCCAAAATACTATGGTATCTCAACTGAACTCAGTGTGCTGGGGATGTGGGTCAGCCTTTTATGTTTTATGACCCAGGTAGGGCTGAGTCAGAAACAATAAATCACATAAGGGCAGTGTTACACCATCCAGAACATTAGCCTGCAGGCCAGCAATATGAATTGATAATTTAGTATTCAAAGTCCCTCTCTAGGCATCATCTGGGGCACTTGAACAGTGCCTGGCACATGGTAAGTGCCCAATAAGTCACTGTTGAGTGAATAATGAAGGGAGGGGGGAAACAGATAATTGAAGGTGCAGGCCCACTCCCTGGATTTGGGGATTAGGAGGAACCAGAGTTGATGAGACTGTGAAAAAATTATGGACATGGAAACGTAAGTATAGAAATAAAGTCCAACTGGAGGAAGAGAGATAACCAATCTTATCTAGTAAACGTTAAGACCAGCAGTAGGCATTCTACATGCACCATTATTACAATTACCAACATCTTTAGTAGAATAGTCTTTACTCTTTTTCACGTATTTGTTTATTAATTTCTGTTTATTTTGATAGGTGGATGGTTCCAAGAGTGCCATTATTCAGTTGGCCAATGCAGGATAGCTTGCAAAGAAAATGAGAAGACAAAAGAAAAATGTGTGGGGAACAGATTTTGCTGCCTCCCTGTAAAAAAGCAGAAATCATCAGACTTCCCAAGAAACAAGAAATGACATGTAAGACTATGGCAAGTGCAACTAACTCTCTATTTAAGACTTGTGACAAAAGAATTTTAACAGACCTTAGAATGAGTCAGTGAAATGACTATGTAGGCACTTGCCTGGTTCTTAGATTTTAGATAACTGCTGGGTACTCACATGGTCCATTAAAGAAAATATGCTCATTTCAGCTATTACATCTTGTCTCTCTGGTCCTCTGAAGCCTAACATCTCTAGGTTGTCCTAGGACAGTGATGGCGAACCTATGACACGCGTGTCAGAGGTGACATGTGAACTCATATTTTTGGTTGATTTTTCTATGTTAAATGGCATTTAAATATATAAAATAAATACCAAAAATATAAGTCTTTGTTTTACTATGGTTGCAAATATCAAAAAAATTCTATATGTGACACGGCACCAGAGTTAAGTTAGGGTTTTTCAAAATGCTGACACGCCGAGCTCAAAAGGTTTGCCATCACTGTCCTAGGATATGCCTAATAATATTGGTTCTCATGGTGAGATAATTTTATAGGATCTGGGTCCTGAATTCCTAAGCCTCTGACTAGGTGCTATTAGGTCCCTGAATGTGAATGTTTTCCACACTTAATGCAAATTCCACCTTGGCCACACATTTTAATCTGATGTCTCATCCTGGCTTGTTGAGATAGGCCAGTGTGATCTAGAGATCTTCTTTTGCCTGTTTAGCTCAAGGTGTAGCCCAAGGCTCTGCCTCATCTCTCACTCTTAAAATGTATCCCTTACCTTAATCTCGTAATCACACTTTGCTGACCAAAGATTGGCATGCCCTCTGACCAGGAGGCAACCATTTCTGCCCCAACCAAATGGGAGGGGGAAGTAGTAAAAACAAAACAAAACAACCCCCCTCAGCATTTACTGAGAACTTACTGTGTGCAAGACCTTGTTCTAAACACTTAACACATGTAACTTCATTTTGTCCAACAACGGCTCCATGACGTTGTTACCTCAGAGGTACGGCAGTTTCAGTTCCCGACCACCTAAACAAGCCGAATAGTGCAATAGCGAGACGAAGTTTTTTGTTTCCCAGTGCATATAAAAGTTATATTTATACTGTATTACAGCCTATTAATTATACAATAGCATTACATCTAAAAATCCATGTACCTACTTTTAATTAAAAGAATACTTTATTACTAAAAAATGCCAACCATCATCTGAACCTCAGCAAGTCATTAATTGTTTTGCTGGTGGTTGCCACAAACCTTCAATTCATAAAAAAAAATAAAATAACAATATCTGTGAGGCACAGTTAAAGCAAAGCACGGTAAAATGAGATATGCTTGTATCGTGTATTATGTCCCTTTTGCAGGAGAGGAAACTAAGTCTCAGAGAGTTTTTAAATGCCCTGCCCCAAAAGGCACAGATATCTGGTTCCGTGGCAAAACTTTGAACCCATGATGACTGAATGAGACATTAAGGTTCCTCAAAGTGAAAAATGATTGTTGCAGTAAGAATAGCTTCCCTTGAGTGGGAGCGGCCGGGGAGAGGTCAGTGAGGAGGCGGGGGGCGGGGGAGGGGCATATGTAATACTTTAAACAATAAAGAATTTAAATTTAAAAAATTCAGATACTAAAAAGAAAGAAAGAAAGGAAGGAAGAAAAAAAGAAAAGCTTCCCTTTACTCTTCCTACCCAGAACCCATTTCCTTAATGTGGAAGGTGTGGTGAAAGAGAAAGCTTTGTGAGCCTCCCTGTGGTTAAAATAAGTAACAAACCCAGCACTAACTGGTATATCCAAGCACAAATATAAATGGTCCTGTGTTCCAGTTGAAGAGGAAGTTGTACCCACTTAGCCGACAGTCTTAGTTCTGAGGCCAATGCCAGTCAGATCTAAAATTGAACACAGTCAAAAGACAGTGTGCACAAATCATGACAATAATTGCAGCTCCTTATTTTTCAGTCTATTTCTCAAAGTACGTTTACATCAATTCTCTCATTTACCCCCTGCAATACCGTGAAGTAATATTTATATCTTAAACCTAAGAGGATGTCCTTGGGATGGCTGGAGAATGGGTCAGAGTCTAGGTCTCAGATTACCTAGACACTGTGATTCCAATGAATAGTTCAACTTCAACCCAGACCACACCAACGGCTGCAGAAAATCCTTAGAAGCTACCTGTTCTTGTACCAAGAGTTTTTATATATTTTTGGCTTGAGAAATTACGCCCACAAAGGGACCCAGGAGTCTTAGAGAGTTTGGAAAACATAACTCTAAGTCTTTAGTCCTAAAGAAGTGAAAAGGGTGCAGAGGAAATCCAGATGGACTAATAGGATCTGACTAAAATCATCTTACTACTCTAGGCCTCAGTTTGCCCATCCTCCAAATGGAAATGTTGGACTAGATTATAAACTCCATATATTTTTCAAACCTCAACACCTTCTTCATTCTTGAAATTATGGTGAAAATCTACTCTCTACCTGAGACTTTAAAAGATGCCACCTCAGAAAGCAAAGACGTGGAATACGAGAGACTGAGAAACAGGAAAGTGGCCTCAATCTAAGTACTCAAATCATAATTCTAAAATACACCTTAGATGCCTTTTTGTTCCTCACTGACCCCCATCATGCCAGCCACCACGACTTCCCAAGACTGCCTCCATAGCACCTGTTCTCCATCTCTGCCTCTACTATTGTATATTCTAATTCAGCCATCTTTCCTTACCAATAATTATTGGCTAAACTGTGTCCCCTCAAAATTCATATGTTGAAGTCTAATCGCCAGTACCTAAGAATGTGACTGCATTTGGATTCAAAGAGGTAATTATGCTAAAAGTGAATCATTAGGGTGGGCCCTAATCCAATAGACTGGCATCCCTATAAGAAGAGGACACAAATACATATAGAAGGGAAACCGCATGAAGACAGAGAGAAGATGGCCATCTACAAATCAAAGACAGAGGCCTCCAAAGACACCAACTCTGTCAATACCCGATCTTGGACTTTTAGCCTATAGAATTGTGAGAAAATAAATGTGTTGTTTAAACCAGTGAGTCTGTTGTACTTTTGTTATGGCAGTCCTAGAAAATTAAGGTGCACATACTCTAACACTTGCATCCTCTGGGTCTCTTTGTCTCCCATTATGACTCTGACTCACTTTAATCTTTCTATACAGTTGCCAGGGGATTATATCTAAAACCCATCTAACATTTAAATGTTTCCTTTTAAACCCTTCAAAAGCTGTACAATGATCAAAGGAATCAATTCTAAACTCCCTTTATGATAATCTCCTGCCCACCTTGGTAGTCTCCCTTTCAATTTCCGCCATGGACCTCATGAGCAACTTGTGTTCTTGGGAATTCATCTGTTTCTCTGCCTCCCCACCTCCCGGTAAAAATATTTTTAAATATTTCAGAGAGGAAGGGAGAAGGAGAGAGACATAGAAACATCAATGATGAGAATCATCAATTGGCTGCCTCCTGCATGTCCCCCACCAGTGATTGAGCTGCAACCCTGGCATGTGCCCCGCCCAGAATAGGACCATGACCTCCTGATTCGTAGGTTGACGTTCAACCGCTGAGCCACCACAGCTGGGCTCTCTCCTCCTTTTTAAATAAGCTTCCCTTTTGTGGGGAAGATTCTTTTTGCAAACCAGATTTATGATTCTCTGTAATCAACATCTAAATATAAAAATAAAAATTTCTTGCCCTAAGCCATGCATATTCATTCCTTTTTCCACCCAGAAAGACCTTTTTATTTACTTTGTTGTCTTTCTTTTTATAAATAAAATTTGTATTATTTAAGGAATAATGATTTTATAGACAACGTGATGATTTGATATATGTATATATGCTTTTATTGTGTATATGCTTAAAGTGAGTATGGTGAAGAAGATGTTCAATTTTTCATTTATGTATCTACTAGCAGATGAGGGTGCCAGTTCCTCCACACCCTCTCCACCGCAGGGAATTGGCATGTGCTCAGCCATTTCAGCATCTCACTGAGGTTTTAATTGGTTTTTCTTTGTTTAGTGGCCATTTAAGTATCCAATTTTGTTTAGTGCCTACCCATGTCTTTTTCACACTCTGTGATAAGCAAGGTAAAATATAATTTCCCTTCCTCTCTATTATCTATGTCTACTGGACTATCTCAACATTTTATTTGCTTTCTTGACTAGAGCCTTTTACCAAATCCAGTGGCTCCCACCCAACTTTCCTCCTCCAATCATGAATCTTTATAGAATAAAAGACAGATACAGGAGGCTGGATGCAATTTTATAGTGAAAATATTTGACAGGAAGATTTCCAGAAGGGGAAAAGGTTGAGAATCTTCAGTACGAAGGTTGACTGGAGGTGGTAAATTTTGACAATTTAAAATCCTCAATTACAGGAGAAAGAATGGTTGAAGATGAATCCACACAGCACATTTGGTTGTTTTCAGCACAGTAATGTAATTCAACTTCTGATTGTTTGCATTTCTTTCTGCACATTCCTTTGTTATTCTCGCACGTAATTGCAAATTTCACTGGCTTAATTCTGGGGTATAATCTTTTCATGCTTCCTGGAAAAAATATGGCTATGGTTAGACTCTATGCACAGGAGATGGAACCAAAATCATCTAGATTCAAACCCAAGCTCTGTTACTTGCTAGATCTTAGTTTTTGGACAAGTGACTTCAGCTCTCTGTCCCTTTGTTGCTCTCATCTGTACAATGGCAATAATAAGAAAAGACTACTTCTTTCAGTTATTGTGATTATTAAATGAGTTCATATATGTAAGTTCTTAGAATAATGTCTGACACTTATTAAGAGGTAACTAAACATTAGGTTTTGTTGTTACAATTGTTGTTGTTCCCATTGTTGTTGTTATTAGATAGAGGCATTTTTCTGAGAGTTTATGACTCTAGGCTTGGGCAAGTTCCCATTTGCCTGAATAGATATATGTTCTCAATGCTCAGCTTTTTCGAGATAGCCAGGTTTATTACAAATTAGGACATACACATGTTTATCAGTGCCTCCGTGTTTTGAAATAATAAGCAT